CAAGCAACAGTTTTCAGACATTCAGTCATTACTCTGGGTTGTGTGTTGCCTCAATGTCAACTTGAGTTGGCATACATTTTGGTGCGGATTCTGAAGTGGCTATTCTTGCTGTTAGGGGGAAAATGTGGCTATTCTTAAGTGATTAGGAGGTAGAAATGAAAGGAACATAAACTCATTAAGCTTCCAAATAATTTTCTACACTTTAAAAGGAAATGTCAAATTAAGAAGTCTCTGCTCAAATACCTTAGAATAATAAGAACACACCCTCCAATTCTTATTTGTATTAATGTACTGCCTGTCAGAAAACTTTTTAGAAACCACTGAAGTTAATAATGTAAATTACCTTGTGTAAATTACAATTAACATTTGGAGGCATTTTTTGATGTTTTCAAATTTTAATTTGTAATAACAGAAATAATTAGATTGGAGAAATATTCATTTAAATTTGGCGACCCAAACATACAGTAACGTTTCTCGTACAGTCTGCTTGGTAATAGTCTTCTATGCAAATCTAACATAAATGTAATAGTTACTATCGTAATCTAAAGTCCTCCAAGCATATTTAAAAATAAATGTAGATGAAACCCTTCTCGCATATAGCTGTCTGTGTTTTTTTATTTTAAACTTGTAGAGCTCTTGAGTATCATGAGCTATTCCTCTTTCTGCAAATAGCCTCCCTGAGTAAGAATGCATCATTCCATGTCCTGACTTGGAAACCTCACCCATGGTCATACTCCCTTAACCCCTAATTTTCTTCAGTCTGAGACCTACACTGCCTCTTTAAAGGGGATCATTAGAATTCTTTTTCTGAGCAGTTACTTTTTCTTCCTTATGTATTTCATTGTAAAAAATAAAGCTTGCTCACTAAAGCAGAAAATCACTTGCTTTAATAACTAGGCTTTGTAAACAAATTAATGAAAAATCCATTGAACATTACAGTGAGAAATATATTCTTCCCAGAGCTAAGGATTTAAAATTTAGATGAAAATGATGAGTAGTGACAGAGATCCATACATATCAATCATGTAAGTCACCATGTAAACTATGGTATATATTCTGGATAGAAAGTGATGAAGATTTGGTCCTTTAATATGTCCCACAATCCTTATGCAGGGAATTATCTTTGTCTTAAATTTTACAGAATAACCCCTCCCTGTAAAAGAGCAAAACACCCGTTTCTTCAGCAAAACACCCTTAATATCTCCTGAAAAGTAAACAGAAGTCAGTGTTCAGAAATCAGCCCCAGGAGAGAAAGAAGTCATGGAGCATCAGGGAGACACACACTTTTTAGCCTGAAAACTAAGAAGCTTCAGACAAGGCAGAGTTCTTAGGGGATGGAAACACTCTTCCTTTCCAGCTGAAAGGCGATTGTTCAGTGTCATAAGAGTTCCAGTCAACGTTGGTACTGGAAACTATTTCATAGTCCTAGACAAGGGAGTCCTCAATCATGTACATCATTCTATGTCTGTGTTTTCTCTGTGAAGGTCATGAACATAATGCTCCTCCACATAGCTCAGAGCAGCGCTGTGATAACATCAGAGGGGCTGGTTATAATGAGAGCATGTCATTGCATTTTTGCATTTTTCATGGCAAAATGTGTCAAACACCAAAATACAAATCAGAAGTTCTTGCTCCAAAGAGTGGCATAAAACAACTTTTCAATCCTACTCTTGGAATATTAAAAAAAAAAATCAGGGTAATTACCAGGTTTGACGTGTGTCACTTCTGGGCTCAGAGGGATTTTGGGTTTCAAAGAAATAAATTGTGTTTTACTGGGAGCTGGAAAAATAAAGAAACAAAAAGAATCAGCAAACAAATCCATTTTTAGACATTTTAGTGTCTAAAACTACAAAGGAAAACCTATACTTTAAGTGGAATGAGCCCATCATCTTGGGAGATTTTGGAAATAGTCCATTAAAAGAGTATTTCAAGAGCAGCATTTAATGGAAATACAGTGATAAATTTTCATCTGGTTTGAAAAAACATTTATAGAGTATATTTGACCTAAAGAAATAGCATTGCTACTAAGTAGTCATAATAACTACACAAAGACAGTGTGATTTTAATCCATGCTTTAAAAAAATCAGTGTAATCATTTTGTGCTCCTATTTCATATTCCTCAGTTACATCTAAGTCTTTAAGCACCAGAAAAAGATATATTTTAAAATTAATATTTACTGATATATATGCTATGATCTGCAGCATAAAGAAATTCTACTAAGACCATAATAGTCATTTTTCCAAATGCAGTCTAAAGTTGACATTAAGGGCTTTATGAAAAACAACAACAACAACTGTGTGTAAGACCCAACTTCAGATACAGTGATTGGATAGAAGATGAGAAAGAAGCAGTGGTTTTATAGCTTTCCAAGGCATAGGGTGATGTACAAGGTTGCATTCAGATCCACTTACTATAGGGCCAACTATCCAAAACCATGAAAGCCATAGTCGACGTGCTACATGAGATACTCGGTACTGCTGCAACAAGCCCATTAGAATACTGACAGACATTACATGAAAGCTGGGGCCCTGGATTTCCCATGGTGACAAGAAGTAACACACCCACTAAGGACAGATCATTACCCAGTGTGGTCCATGTAGGTTCAGGGCTCATTGAAAGTTTAGAAGTAGTTGTTCCAGGACTTTTGGTTCTTTCTGGTGATGGAAAGGAAAGAGATATTATGATATCCTAGAGGCAATAAAAAGACGTCCTCCAAAGAGGAACTGAATGACATGTTAAAAGCCTGTCACAGCTAGTAGTCAGTGTTTACAAAGTATGCAGTGAGTAAACATTTTGGAAAAGAATTTTCAAACTCAATCAAAATGATATAGACTATAACAAACCACTGCACTCAGAGTACAAAGGACTAAGCAAAACCCAGTTGTTGAGTATGATTCTGAGTGTGTTATCTGACAATGAGGAAAATCACCTCCGGGCCGATAAGCTGCCTCTACCACCCAAACGCTGTGCCTGAAGATAATGCTGTTCCCCACTGCTTTTTCCTTTGCCCAAATCCTACGCAGATTGTGAGGCTTGCATCCTCAACTCTTACTTTCTTTTTCTGACCTTCTACACGAGTATTAGTCTCACAAGTAGATTATATGATCTTATGTTGTTCTCTCATTGTTTATGACATATTATCTTCATAAGATCATAAGCCATTGGAAAACTGGGGTCATGTCCTTTCTATCTCAGCCATTGCCCTGGGGAAAAAACTGAAAGCATAGTAGGCACCCAAAACCAAGAACTGTCACCTTATAAATACTGGAATAGAGATGGCATACCAAGAAAAAGAATTATACTATATATCTCACTCTACCATGTGATAGCAAGTCTTGTGTCTAGGTTTATACCAAAATTCACATGCAAAAACATCACTTACATAATTTTTAATAAAAGTTTATCAGAAATTATTGACTCTTGTTATTCATTATCATTAATTATTCATCTTCAGTTACCTTCAAATTTTGTAAAGAAACTTTAACCTGTAGAATCATGTCACTTATTTTTATGGCAAGGAGATGGATATTATCGTTTTGGAATTAAATATCCTGAAAGGTTAAAGAGACATTTGTTTACCAGGCTTGGTTCTTGGTGGTTTGGGCCTGAGGCGTCGTTTAGGTGTAGTTTGCAGGGGAGCTGAAAGAAGATTTAAAATAGCTTTCAGAAATGACTTTCCTCAGGGTGGATCAGGTTTAAGTGTAAACTTGTAAACTTCTTGAGTGCAAGGACTGCTTTATGTTTCTGTGTATCCCTAGAATGCCCAGCACTGTGCCTTATTCACAGCAGGTGCTCAACAAAAGTGCTGATTGGGCCAAAGGAATTAATTTTCTATGTGAGAACTCTTCAATTAAATGTACTACAAGTGAGCACCTTTGAAGAATTTGAGAACAGATGGTGCAATTTAAAAACTCAAAAGATGATTTACCACACAGCTGGGGAGAAACACAAATAAACTATTTGGGTTTTAGAGAATAGAAAGTCCAGGACTTCTTTAATTCTGTAGCATTTTACTAACCTCACCAGGAAATAATGAACTTCATTATTCCTATAATTTTATATTTTAAAATGAGGTTGTGTTACCTGTCTTTTGCCCATTTTTCTTCATCATGCTCAGGACTGCAGAGCTCTCTTGGGGCTCTTTATACTTGGACTACTTTGAGAAAAAGTCTCTGACCTCATGGTATCTGAGTGCGTTAATTAGGAGGGAATATATTTAAAATAATTATCATCTATAATCCTGCTGCTATTTTCTGGTTGGAGAATTTGAAAGTATAGCCAAAAAATAATAATTCTTCACAATATCTACTAGTACACAATGTCATGGTAGGGAATGAAGAGAAGTGTTTACCACTGAAAATATTCTGAAAGGAGCAACATGACTGATTTTTTTGAATTGATCTGTTCTTTCAAAGTAAACAACTATACAAATGTCATTAGTTACCAGGTGTTGTAGGTTGCATTTCAGGACTGGTAATGATTTCCAGTTTTTGAGGAATAAATGGCGTTTCACTTGGAGCTGAAAATACAAACACCCCACCCCACCAAATAGTTCCAGTTAAAATGAGGTATTTTAGGAGTTTTCACATGCTTTCAGCTGGTGTTACAAAGCACATGCTACAAGTACATGATTAAGGATGAAAATGCAGGTAGTCTTCAAAGCTGATGAATGAAATAATAATGTAAAGTCAGTGAAGGGTTGGAGTGATAATTGTTCAGTAGCTGACTCCAGGCAGACTCAATGCAGGAAAGAGGAGGTGATACAGGCCACAAACACATGAGATGGGTGATATGGATGATGAAAGTATCCATGCAGTTTTCAAAACTTTTCATTCCTTTAGGGATGGAAAAATATCATCTATTACAGTACAAAGAAAAAAAGAGACCAAAATGAAACATGAGATGTCTGCATTATAGGGGAAAAAAAGTATATATATTCAGAAATAGGAAAGAAATAAATGATTAGATGTGATGGAAAGAAATGGTCATTTGGAAGGAAGGCATTCACATGGATTTTTCTTTTGATGGAAAACAAAGCACGATTTTTCTGTTAAAAACATTACCCAGTGTTGCCCTTGGCTGTTCAAGAGTTCTAGAAGTTTTAGGTGGGACAGAATCCAGAAATGGATCCGTTGTTGCTGTTGGAATAAATGTCAACATTTACAAAAGCAGTAGAAGGCCCAAGGAATAAAATACAAATTCATGAGTAATAAATTTTGCCCCATATAGGAAAAAAATATCAAGAACACTTGAGAATTTAGGCCAATCACATGATCTCACTCATTTATGGAATATAATGAACAACATAAACTGATGAACAAAAACAGATCCAGAGACAGAGAAGCATTGATCAGACCATCAAACCTCAGAGGGAAGGTAGGGGAGGGGAGAGGTAAGGGGGAGAGATCAACCAAAGGACTTACTTATATGCAAGCATATAGGCCTAACCAATGGACACAGACAATGGGGGCGGGGGGTGTGGTGAGGGCATGAGTGGGAGGGATGGTGGGTAATGTGGGGATAAGGACACATATGTAATAACTTAATCAATAAAGAAATTTTAAAAAAGAACACTTGAGAGATTTCTGACCAACATTTTTAAATGAGTGGTTCATTAGAATTTAAATATGAGCTCACTTTAAAGAACATATATATTTTAAACATCAGAAATCATGATAAAACAGTGTCTCATATACTCAACTTATTTTCAACAGATTTCGCTGGCTTCTTCTCTCTGTTCCTTAACTACTAA